AAAAAAAAAAAAAAAAGAAAAAAATCAAAGAAATACCAAAGCTGAATCACATCTTTGGACAAATGTATTTAATAGATATCTACAGTGTTCAACCCAACAACAGAGTATACCTCCTCAGCAGCACATGGAACTTTCTTTCAAATAAACCACATACTAACCCATCAAACATTCTTAAAAGTACAAAAGAATCAAAGTTATCCTGTGAATATTATCAGACCAAATCAATGGCAAAAGAAATCACAGAAATTATGCAGATACATGGAGATTAAATACTACATTCTTGAATATTCAATGAACTACAGAAGAAATTAGTTCCTAGAATCAAACAATAATGCCAGTACAACATATGAGAATCTATGGGACACAATGAAAGCAGTCCTTTGAGGGAATTTATAGCTGTGAATGCCCACACCAGAAAAAAAAAGAGCAAGCTCGAATAAATAATCTAATAATGCACCTCAAGGTCCTAGAAAAACAAGAACAATTCAAATCCAAATCTAGTACAAGGAAGAAAATTATAAAGATCAAAGGAGAAATTAATGAAATTGAGACTAAAAAATCCCTAAAACAAGCCAAACAAAACCGCCTCCCCCTCAAACCAAAGAACCAATGAACTGAAGAGCTCCTTCTTTAAAGGAATAAACAAAATAGGCAATCCCTTAGCCAATCTTACCAAAGAAGAAACAACCCATATCAATGCAATTACAAATTAAGGGCAAAATCACAATGGACATTACTGAAATCTAGAAGACCATTCATAACTACTTTGAAAACCTGTACTTTAATCAACTGAAAAATCCAGAAGATACAGATAAATTCCTAGATACATATGAATTATCAAAAGTGAACAGGGGCTGGGGATTTAGCTCAGTGGTTCTGGCACCTGCCTCAAAAGCGCAAGGACCTGAGTTCAATCCCCGGTACCAAAAAAAAACCAGTGAACAAAGGAGATATAAAAACCCTGAATAATCCAGCAATGAACAATAAAATTGAAGCAGTAATAAAAAACCTACCAACTAAAAGAAGCCTGGGACTCAATGGATTCACCACTGAATTCTACAAGAACTTCAGGAAAGATCTAATGCCAATATTCTTCAAACTCCTTAATGAAACTGAAAGGGAGGAGTACTGCCAAAATAATACTTAGAAGCTATCATTACCTTGATGCCAAAACCAGACAAGGACCTCACTAAAAAAAAAATTACAGGACAATCTCTTAATTGAATATAGGTACAAAGATCTTGAACATGATACTGGCAAACAGAATACAACAAATCATCAAAAAGATCATATATCATGACCAAGTAGGCTTCATCCTAGGGATACAAGGATGGTTCAACATATACAAATCAACGAATGTAATACATCACATAATTAGAAGGACAAAAATCACACGATCATCTCAATAGACATAGAAAAAGCTTTTGACAAAATCTACCATCTGTTCATGATAAGAATCCTGAAGAAAACAGATACAGAAGCACCTTATCTATACTGGATAAAAGACACTTACCACAAACCTATACTCAACACTGTATTAAATAGGAAAAAACTGAAAACTTCCCCTCTAAAATCAGGAACAAGACAAGGGTGTTCAACATTGAACAACTCCTGTTCAGTAGAGTACTCAAAACTTTAGCCAATCAGGCAAGAAAAATAAAAGTGATATACAAAGAACAGAAGAAGTAAAACTATCCTTTTGGAGATAGCATGATCCTCTACATAGAAAACCAAAAAAATTCTACCAAAAGACTTCTAGAATAAATAACCAAATTCAGCAATGTACCAGGATACAAAATCAACACACAAAATTCAATACCATTCCTGTACACCAATAACAAACCCACTGAGAAAGAAATTAGGAAAACAGGGCTGGGGATTTAGCTCAGTGGCGCCGCGCCTGCCTTGTAATCACAAGGTCTTGAGTTCAATCCCTGGTGCCCAGGGTGGGGGGTTGGGGGGAATGAGACAAACAATACTATTCACAGTAGCATCAAGAAAAATTAAATACTTAGGAATTAACCTAATCAAGAAGTGAATGATCTTATTTTATAACTACAACTACAATATTCTGAAAAAGGAGATCGAAGAGAATACGAGAAAATGTAAAGATATCCCGTTCCTCTCTTCCTAGATAGACAGAACCAATATTGTCAAAATGGTCATATTACCAAAACTGTTGTACAGATTTAATGCAATCCCAATCAAAATACCAGCAGCATTCCTCACAGAACTAGAGAAAACAATCCTAAACTTCATATAGAATCAGAAGAGACCTAGCAATTCTGGGCAACAAGAGCAAAACTGGAGGCATCATTATCCCAGACTTCAAGTTATACTACAAAGCTACAGTGATTAAAACATCATGGTACTGGTACAAAAACAGACATGTGAATCAGTGAAAGAGAAGAGAGTATGAAGAAGGAACACCAGGCACATTCAGTCATCTTATCTTTGACAAAGGGGCTAAAAACATATGCTGGAGGAAAGACAGCCTCTTTAACAAATGGTGCTGGGAAAACTGGCTATATACATGTAGAAGACTGAATTGAAAACAATTATCTCTCACTGTGTATGAAAATAAAATCTAAATGGATCAAAGATCTAAGTATTAATCTGCTGGAAGATAAAATAGGTAAAACTCTGGAAGTCATAAGCACAGGTGAGGATTTTCTGAACAGAATGCCAACTGCACCTATTATGCAACTGCATAATACTGTATCAAGAATCAACAAACGGGATTATATCAAACGAAAAGGCTTCTGCACACCAAAGGAAACAACCAACACAGTGAAGAGACACCTACAGAATGGGAAAAGTTTCTGCCAGCTACACTTCAGACAGAGGATGAATATCTAGAATATAAAAAGAACTCAAGAAAATTAGACCCCCCCCAAAATAAAAGATTAAATCAAAAAACAGGGAATTGAAATGAACAGACACTTCTCAGAAGTGGTACACATGGCCAATAAATACATGAAAAAATGTTCAACATCTTTGACCATTAAAGAAATGGACGTTACAACAGCACCGAAATTCTACCTTACTCTAAAAAGAATGGTAAAAAGAATGGTTATCATCAAGAAATCAAATAATAACAAATGTTTCCAAGACTGTGGGGGGGACAAAGGAACTCCTCTACATTGTTGGTAGGAATGTAAACTAGTATAATTACTATGGAAATCACTATGGAGATTCCTCAAAAAACTAAAACTAGAAATTCTATTTGACCCAGCTATTCCCCTTCTAGGTATCTTCTGGAACAGTTAAAGATATCATGTTACAGTGATACATGCATATCCATGTTTATAGAAACACAACTTACAATGGCTATATTATGGAAGCAGCCCGTGTCCATTAACAGATGAATGGATAAAGAAAATGTAGTATTTACACACAAGGGAGTACTACTCTGCCATAAAGAAGGATAAACTTGAGTCATTTGTAGGAAAATGGATACACCTTGAGACCATGTTAAGTGGAATAAATCAGACACACAAGCTTAAATATTGCATGGTTTCTCTTATATGAGAAAATTAAAGAACAAAATAAAAGATAATAGGAGACAGATGTTTTGTAAATGGGAAAGGGACCAAAGATGGAGGGAAGGGGGAGAGAGGAAGAGAAAGGGGATGTAAAAAGAATGTAACCATTATGTACTGCAAACATGTACAAAAAAAATAATAAACTACTGTATTTGTTTAATTTCTTTTTGAGGCAATACAGAAACACTAACATAATCTAATGTTACTTTGGTACTATTTGAATATGATACTCTTTTAATTTCTGTCTCCCCAAATATATTAATACAGTTTTGGATACAATACAACATTCTCTTTATGGTGATATTTTTCAAATACAAAAACAACCACCAAAATTATGAATGACTGTAAACTAAGCATACTCAAGGAGACACTGCCCCCTTGTGCCAATCAATAATATTCAATAAATTAAGAAAGAACTAATAACTAGTTTCAATACTACAAGGATGCAGGCTCTTAAAAAACACCTTGACCAGTTGGTAGTGTGGCTCAGTGAGGGTCTTGACTATTACTAAAGCCCTGGGTTCTATCCCCAGTATGCATGCATAGATCTTGATCTTTCTGTGTTTTCTGTTGTTGGTTTTAGGCTTTGCATTTTTGCTTTTATTATTATTATTTTTTTTGAGATAGTATTTCACTATATTGCCTGGGCTGGTCTCAAACTGCTGGACTACCATGATTCTCTGGATTCAGCCACCTAAGTAGACTAGAGATACACACCATTGCACCTGGCTTTCTGGGTTTTTATTTTAATAGCTTATATTTAAAATGGTGATCTTTAGGGACACATGCATTGAACGAATACCTTAAGCTCATATGACATGGCTAATTTATGACATTCAGTAGCAAGTTACCAATATAATTCCTAAAATTATCATTTATACAAGCAGCTTACAGGCTGAGTTCAGAGAGTAGTAGTTTTCTGATCTTTAAGTTCTACAAATACAAAAAACTCCACTATATTTCAGAGAAAAATAGATGACACAGGAATAAAATATGGTGACTTGTGTTAAAATACATATATAGTTCAAGTTTTTAGGTAGTTTCTTCTAAAATCTCAGAAAACTTTTTTGGGGGCATTTGATATATGGCTTAATTACTCCTTATAAAGCTTACTGATATTACTAATATATTGTAGTATGGACAAAAGTATTAGAACAACTAGAACTGCTAAAGAGAAGAATATATTAATGTAATAAAAAAAATATTACAGGTAAAAAAAAAATAAGTGAAGTAAAACACTCAACAGCATAGCATCTTTCCTAATTGGGGTGGAACAGTTTCAATTCCATTTCTATTGAGTAGAGTCACTAGGAAAATTAAATAAATTATCACAGATAAAACACTTATAATAAGCCATGAAATATTTGTTACATAAGTAAATGAATTAATAAGCATAGAAACTACATAGTACTCATACACTCAATAATACCTACTTTCGAAGGTGGTCATGTTCTTTCAAAAATAGTTCAGTTCTCCTGTTGTTTACTCCAGATCCACTTTTATATGACCTAAAACAACATAAAGAAAATTTAAGAACATTTTTGGAAGATAATTCAAAATTAGAGAAGTGACTGACCCTAGTGATATCGAAAGTAGATGTGCCAGGGATTTAGCTCAGTGGTTTCACCACCTGCCTTGCAAGTGAAAGGTCCGGAGTTTGATCCTCAATAACAAAAGAAACAAAAAAACCCAAAAAACCTGCCCTGGTTCTGTTTGGGGTTGGGGATTTAGCTCAGTGGTTCTGCTGCCTGCCTCGCAAGTGCAAGGTCCTGAGTTTGATACCCAGCACCAAAAAAAAAAAAGAAAAAAAGAAAAAGTAGATGCACTGACTTTCCCTAGTTTTTTAATGAATGAAGTGTAGAATCCTTTTTTCATTTTGCTCTAAAAATGCTATCTATCATAAATGGACAAATATGAATGTTTCTCTAAATTTTTTTCCTTGAGACAGGTCACTCTGTGTTGCCCAGGAAAGTCCTGAACTTGCAATCCTCCTGCCATAGCCTCCTGAATAGCTGGGATTGCAGGCATGTGCTACCAAGCCTGGCTCTGTTTTGTAAGAGATTGTTTTTTCATAAAAATAAACCAATATTCTTAAACAACAACAAAAATCTTACTTTTCCTTTGTCCATTATCTTCTATATATTAATTTTTCCAAATGGAAGTAAAACCTTGGACTGATTAGTACATAACACACAGAGTGAGGAAGGTACTGAAACAGTGTTTTCTTTCATAACAGTATGCCATCCAACAACCGAAGCCTAAAGAATACTGAAATGAAGTGTTCAAGAAGCACCAATTTTGGAACACTTAAGGATATCTTAGTCTCTGGCACATTAAAATTTATTTTAAAAAGCCTTTTACATTACTGTCAACACTTTCATTTTTTCTGGTTTTTGCTAACATGAAGTATCAAGAACAGATTTTGAAAAATTCAGGAAACTGCACAAACACTGTAGTAACAAAAGAGATAGTCACGCCACTAAAATCGAACTATTGGCAGAGCAGTAGTGGTACTATGCAGCACATGGGAGACCACTCCAAAAAGAATGAAACAACCAGGTTGGACTTGAAAGACTGATGAATTGAAATAAAGTCTCTACCCTGTCATTTAATAGCACGGTAACCTTGGTCTCTCAATACCAGGTTTTATAAAACGAGATGGTCAAAAAGCAATAATACATGGAAAAGTAATGTGTAAACTGCAAAAAACTGCGAAACTCTCTCAGGTGTCATTCTCCTAATTATACTAATTCTCCTATTATACTAATCTGAGTACATACCTTTCTCCCTTCTAGCACTGAAATTATAAAGTCCTACAAGGCCAAATTGGTCTTTTCATTTCTGCATTCTGTTGTGCCTGATACAATGTCTTACTCAGGAAACCGTTTAATGAATGGATGATCTTTTTTCATTGTTATTTTTCAAAATAAGTAAGTTACTATAGTGGGTGGCATTCTTATAACTCCCACAAATAGTGGGGGAACCAAATGTCTAAACATTACAGCTTGTCATCTACAACTGTTCTCACTACATTCTTCAAAATGTATATAGAATTCAACTGTACAAAAATTAAAAAGACCTAAATATACCATTAGGACAAACAATATTACAACTGTCTTATTGTTAAAACTGTCGTAATAGTACAATAAAAGATCTTTAGGAAAATGTTGCTCAGAATACACATAACACACATAATATGAGACCTAAGTCTCATAAACTTGTCATAAATAAAATGATAGGTATCACTAGATGGTCCAAAATAGGAAAGTCTTTAGCTTCAATTAGATGTCTATGTGACTCAATTTTATCAGGCAAGTTCAGTTGTGGAAAAATTTTCAAAAATATGTAGAAAATGCCAAGGATTTAGTTCAGTGGTTCCGCCACCTGCCTTGCAAGCACAAGGTCCCAAGTTCGATTCCCAGGTACCAAAAAAGCAAGCAAACAAAACAAAACTAAACAAAAAATGTAGAAAATGTTAGAATATATCATTGCAGATGAGGAGAAGGGATGGAAGAAAAGACAAATCTTTAAATTTATGGACTGAAACAGCATAAAAATGCTGGAAATCTTTAAATAATTTGATGTAATACATTTGTATTATTTCTAAGAAAAACACATATTTCAGAACCTCAGGGAAAAAAAGGCTGCATAAATAGCTACCTGAATATATGACTGTGGAGAAAGAAAGAGGTGCAGAAGACGAGTTGTAATCAGGAAAGGAAATGTGGAGAGCTTCAGTTACTGCTAATGCTGTAATGCTTAAGAGTATTAAGAGAGGGCCAGGGATTTAGCTCAGTGGTTCTACCACCTGCTTTGCAAGCACAAGGTCCTGAGTTTGATCCCCGATACCAAAAAAAAAAAGAGTAGTAAGAGATCAGAGAAGAACTCATGAAGCTATCATCTAAGCTGGATTTTGAATTGAGACACCAAAGTCAGGAGATAATAGTAAAACTAGGAGAAACAGGAGATGGGACTAGCAAAGTAGATTAGGACTATGCTACAGCAGCAATGTTTAAAGAACAGTAAAATGGGAATTAGAAACCCTGAAATCCAATCCTGGTTTTGCTACTCAATTTGAAATTACAGATGTATTTTAAATCTGAAAAAACATTCTATAAAGTAATAATATAAAAGGTAACTTACTCAATATCTTTTCGTACTGATCCCATGAGATTCTCCCTTTCTCGTATTGCCACAAAGTTTGCCTTGGTTTTATGGAATTCATGTGTATAATCCTGCAATAAATCAACAGACAGTCTAAACATGAACTAATTATGTATTTTCATCTTATTGAACCAGTTGTGTATTCTTATCATATTGTAAATTTCAAAACATTACCCTTCCTATTTTTTACTACCTTGTCTTCTTTTTTTTTTTCTTGGTACCAGATATCGAACTCAGGACCTTGCGCTTGTGAGGCAGGAGTAGTGCCACTGCACTAAATCTCCAACACCCTACCTTGTCGTTTTTTTTTTTAACCTTGTCTTTTAATTCAAAACTATAAAGAAAAAAATTCTACGATAAAAGGACTTCAAAATAGCTTAGGGCAGTGATGGTAAACCTTTTAGAGTTTTCAATGATAACAAATAGCCCATTGTGGCATGCATGCCGTAGATTTACCAACACTGGACTAGGGGAAACTCTGGCAAGTTTATTTTACTTAATTATTGTACCTATTGGAGCTTATTTTCATAATTCCTCCTTTTGGAACTCCCAGAAATTTAATTCCTAAACTAATCAAAGGAAGAACAAAATCAAGAGGATTGTAAGAAAAGAAAAATTTGTAAACATTTTCCTTTGTTTTTGTACTACTGTATTTCTAAAAGACATTAAGACTATTTACTACTTTAATTCTGAAAAGCAGATAAAGATGAAAATAAAAATCTCATCTCCAAGAGAGCCTATTAACTTTTTAAAAACAAATATTACACACAGACATGAGAATATTAAAAGAGCACCCAAAGGATTAAAGGTAAACAAACAAAAATATATTTTATTCCACCACTCTTAACTATTATCATCACTTTCCCATGCTTCCTTTCAGGAAACATGCTTTTGCACATAAAAACTTACCCATTATTTTTCTTTCAATTTTTTGCTAAAGAAATCATAGTACACGTTCTGATGTGCATTCTATTTAATATCAATTGATCTATCCATATTGTCAAACAAATCTAATCCACAACGCTTTTTTGCTTTATTTTTGGTGACTGAACACAGGACACTGAACATATTAAGCAGGTGCTTCACTAAGCTATATCACTCTTTTTAATAGCTGCACAGAATACTATCTTATGATTCTATAAATTCTAATTCCCTACTGATAAACATTTTAGTTGCTTTTGGTTGTTTTGCTATTACAAAATGCTGCCAATAAACATTCTTGTGCGTATACTTTGTTGAACTTTTTTTTTTGGTGGTACTGGGGATTGAATCCAGGACCTTTGCACGGAGGTATATCCTCAGCTGTCTCTCTTTTTCTTGGTACTGGGGAACAAGCTCAGGACTTTATGCTTGCCAGGCAGGTGCTGTACCGCTGAGCTACAATCCCCAGCCCCTCTTCAGCTCTCTTTTTCTGTCTCTTTGAGACAGGGTCTTGCTAAGTTACCCAGGCTGGGCTTGAATTTGCCATCATCCTGCCTCAGCCTCCTAGAGTGCTGGGATTACAAGTGAGTACCACCATGCCTGGCTTGTTGAACGTTTTTTAAAAAAGGCATAGTTAGAGCTGAGGATGTAGGTGTGTGGTAGAGTGCCTGCCTAGCATGTGCAAGGCTCTGGGTTCAATCCCTAGTACTGTAAAAAAACAAAAACAAAAGCAAAAACCAAAAACTCCAATAAAATAAAAGACGTATTTAAAGAATAAATGCTGGGCATAGTGGGGTATGCCTGCAATTTCAGCTACTTAGGAGGGTGAAGCAGGAGAATCTCAAGTTTGAATCCAGCCTATGCCACTTAGGGAGTCTTAAAAGATTTTAAAAAGGGCTGAGGATATCGCTTGGTGGTAGAGCACCTGCCTAGCATGCATAAGGCCCTGGGTTCAACCCCCATTGCAAGGGAAAAAAAAAGTAAATGCCTAGCTGAAAAACTGGATCAAAGAATTGTATAGTATTTAAATTCTGATAGAGCTAAACTGCCTTCTAGAAAGACTACACCAATTTATGTTCCTATCAACAGTGTTATAAGTGGCTATTTTTCTATACTCTTGCCAATAAAGGGTTACAAAAAAGTTAGTAGGTAAAAAATTATAGGTAAGGGCCTGGGATTTAGCTCAGTGGTTCCGGCACCTGCCTCACAAGCACAAGGTCCCGAGTTTGATCCCCGGTATCAAAAAAAAAAAAAAGATAGGTAAAAATATCTCATTTTGATATGGATATTTTATTTGGGAGTATGACTGAGTATCCTTTTATAGTTTTAAGCCACTTCACACCTCCCTTGCTGGGAAGCACACACAGGGCCTCATGCATGCTAGACAAGTGCTCTACCACTGAGCCATATCCCCAGTCCTCTGCCATTCATTTTTTTGTTTTGTTTTTTTGGGGGTTTTTTTTTGGTACCAGGGATTGAAATTGGGACCTTGCCCTTGTGAGGCAGGCGCTGGAACCATCATTTTTAAAGTAAATTTATATTCTTTGCTCATTTTTCTATTAATTTGCCTTTTTCTTATATACTCCTATTATTTCTCTGTATTTTAAGCAAATTAGTCATTAGTATTAGGTCTTACTTAGGAAGCTCTTTATTGATGAAAAATTCATAAATTTCAACTATGCTTTATTGTGAATCCTCCACCTCCTTCTCTTTCTCTTTCTCCATTTTATAATTTCTCTTTATCTTATACCGATTTAAAGAACCACTTTACCAGAAATCCAATTTCCATACATATTTGTATGTATATAGAAACTCTATTTGGTTGTACTGGGATATAAATTTTTTCTCTAGAATTCACCTTTTATCTATTCTAGGTTTTTAACAGGTTTTAGTATTTGACTAGAATTAGGCACTACTTATCTTCACTTTTAAAAGACAAACTTTATTTTTCTTCATTATTCTTATATTTGATTCCAAATGAACTTTGGTATCACCATGCCATATTTAAAAAAAAAAAAAGAAACAGTGAAAAACAATCTGCTATTTCCATTGGGATAACAATTTATAAAACCGTTTTAAAGGGAAAGACTCTCATCCAAAAGCAGAAGAATTCTTTCCTTTAGTTAAGTCCTTTCCTGTGTCTTTCAGTAGAACTTAACACACACAGTCCTAAACAGTTATTACATTTATACATAAGGATTTTACAGTTTCTTCCATATTTTCTTCCTTCCTTCCTTGTTTTTCATACTAGGGACTGAATGCAGGGCTTTGTGCACACCATCACTAAGCTACACCCCATCTCTCTCCATTATATTTTTAATAGGTTACTGTTTGTATGTAGGAAAACTTTTTTTTTTTTTTGGTAGCACTGGGGATCGAACCCCGGGGCTTTGCACAGAGCTACATCTCCAGCTCTTTTTTAAATTTTGAAAAAGGGTCTCCCTAAGTTGCTAAGTTGCCCAAGCTAGACTCAAACTTGTGATTCTCCTGCCGCAACTAACTTCTGGCTTTTATTTTTTTAATTGTTTTGGAATTGACCATATTGACTTTAATTGGTTCTAACTTTTTTTCAGTTAATTTTCTTAGTGTACGACATATACTCTTATGCTGTCACATAACAGAAACTCTGCCTCCTCTGCTCCAATACTTACTTACCTTCATTTTCTTTTTTGGTACCAGGGATTGAACTCAGGACCTTACGCTTTCGAGGCAGGCGATTCACCACTGAGCTAAATCCCCAGCCCCACTTATCCTTATTTTTAAAAAACTTATCTTACTGTACTACCAAACTGTTAAGGCATGTGTGGCCATCATGGGTATCCTTGTCTGATTTTTATCTTCAATGAGAATGTTTTTAATGTGAGCTTTTAATCTGATATTCACATCTACCCAGTAGATAAAGTATCTATCTCTGCGGAGGGCGCCCCCTCCCTTTCATGCATGCTAAGCACATCCTCTACTATTGAGCTACACTCCCAGCCCTATTCCTATTTTTAAAATCAGAAATGGTTGATAAGTTGTTTTTTCTGTTTTTCTGCGGTACTGGGGATCAAACTCAGGACCTTGTGCTTGTGAGGCAGGCGCTGTACCACCAAGCTAAATTCTTGGTCCAGTAAGATTTTTTTTAATGAAAAAAATTTGCCTTCCAATTTGTATTATTATTATTATTATTATTTATTTTATTTATTTATTTTTTTGGTTTTTTGAGACAAGGTCTCACTTTATAATAAAGTTCAGGCTGACCTCGAACTCACTATGTGGCCCAGGCTAACCTCTAATACACACAGATCCTCCTGGCTCTGCCTCCAGTGCTGGGATTACAGGCGTGCACCACCACGCCTGGCTCTACTATTATGGTTTTTTTTTGGGGGGGTACCAGGGATCGAACTTGGGACCTTGCACTTGCAAGGGAGGTAGCGGAACCACTGAGCTAAATCCCCGGCCCTACTATTATATTCTTAATACCCCCACATATAAATCTTTATTTGATTTTATTGATATTTTATCTTATTTTCAAACAATATACTAAATATAGTAAATTATTCCATGTTATCTTGAAATTCTGATGAAAGTGCAATTTAAACCACTATATTACTGCCTCTGCATGACTATTCAACTTCAAGAAAAAAATCAAGAGCTATCAGGTATTTTCATTTTTAGAATTTTATAATACTCATTAAAAAAAACCCAAAGAAATTTCTATTGCATAGCATTTATCTTCTCAGAAGAATTCTTTCTCTCTCTTCTGTAGTACTGAGGATTGAACCCAGGGTCTCAGACAAGCTAGGCAAGTACTCTACCACTGAGCTACATCCTCAGCCCTTTTCTATTTTTATTTTGAGACAGTGTGGCTAAGTTGCACAGGTGGGCTTGAACTTTGGATTCTCTTACTTCACCCTCCTCAGCAGCTAAAATTACAGGTGTATGCCAACATGCCCAGCCTCACTTTATTCTTTTAAATAAATATGTATACATCTTATTTAGGGATTATGAAAAAATTCTGGGATAATGTAAAGTCTCAAGCCCAATATATTACCTGCAAAATGTCTCTATGTCGCTGTAATGTATGCATCAATGCTGCATTCAAGGAGGGGACACCTGCACTGTTGGTATATTCTGCCATTTTGTCATTTACCCCTGTAAGCTAGGAAAAAAGGAAAAAATATTTTAGAAAACATTATAAATGGCTAAAAGCAAATTATTTGCCTATACATCCTTTTAGTTGACAGCAAAACAAAACTAAGCAAAAGAAAACCCAAATAGTAAAGTCTAGGTATTTGATAAGTAATGTTAATAAACAGCAGTGACATTTTACCTATGGGGGGGGGAATCACACCTAAATTTATGCTAATATGGTGAAACTGGGTGGGGTTCCTAAACAGCCTCAGGATGGGGCTGGTCAACAGAGACATTAAGAGCTGAGAAGGTTGTAACTTCCAGCCCCAACCACGAACCTCCAAGGGAAAGGAGGTTGAAGACTGAGCTCTCTGAATTCTTGGCCAAGGAGACTAGAAGGGCCTCAAGGTTTGTGAACATACTGAGATGCTAGAAGAGTGACACACTGGGAGAGGGTGTGGAAGCTCTCTTTACCTTACCCTGTCTGTGTATCTTTTCCATCAGGCTGTTTCTGAGTTATAGCCTTTATAATAAAGAAGATTAAAAAAAAGGAAAGAAAACCCAAGATAGTAGCCAATGATTTAGCAGCTCCCCCAAGTAATCCATAAAGGTTAAAATAACACCCACATGACCTGAGGATGGCTATCATTAAAATTCAAGTGGCCTGAAGAGGAAGACATTTTGAATGACTGGATGATTTCAGTCAAAATGTCTGCATTTATATAATGCAGTGTCATATCTAACAAGTACACAGTTATTAACAATTTAACAGAAAGCACTTACCCTTGCCAAAAGCTGTTCAATCTCAATTGCCATTGTCTCAAACATTCTGTCTTGGCTTGATCCATTTAAAAGGGGTGTAGTGTCAGAACTAAGGAAAAGTTCAATGAAAAGGAATTCATCACTCAACTCTAGTCCTTTAAAATATACTTAAGACAATAAAATAAGTATCCTTATAGGTCAAGTAAACTCCTGAAACATTCTATTTCTTCTGAAATTAATTTTTTATAGTTTTCCAATAAAGATCACACACATTCTACAATACTAAATTCACTGTAAAATATAATTGAATGTATGATTTTCCCAAACTTTTACATATTCAATCTTAACAATGTAAAGAAATTCCAAATGCCTGCTTACATTTACTCAAATGACAGAAATTAACTTTAAGCTATGGCAGTGTCCAATTAAACCGAATTTAAAACAACAAATTATGTGAAACAAAACTGCAGAACTGGAGAACTCCTTATAAGAGAAACCAGAAAAATCAATTATGGATTATGTTACAGAGCCTGTGAGAAATCTTTTTAAGTTTTTATCCCTTAAAATTACAGTTCCTTAGACTTTCAATTTGCTCTTCTTTCCTTGACTTTATTTTTTGGTTTAGGGATAGAACTCCGGACCTTGCGGTTACAAGGCAGGTGGCAGAACTACTGAGCTCCCCTCCTTAACCTTTACCAAGAAATAAAGTTGAAATTTAAATGATCCCAGATTAGATAACTAGTTATTGAATAATCAGGAACTTACTTTCAGTCTAAAATACATAGCCATGTCCAGCTTATTTTTGTACTAACCTTTTACATTTCTACTTATAACATGCAACCATCTCATTTTCTTTTACAAAAATGTATTAAGGAGCAGGGGAATTAGCTCAGTGGTTTAGCCGCCTGCTGTGCAAACACAAGGACCCGAGTTCGATATCTGGTACCAAAAAAAAAATGTATTAAGCTATTTTTATACTGGGATAGTAAAAATCTAACTTTTTACATCTGTGCAAGTCATGTCCTGAAAGTTTCTTTTGCCTCTTTTGAAAAAACCCTTCATAAGATCCCCATGTGCATTATCATATGTGACCAGAGATAATCTGGGCAGAGATAAATGCCTAGGCAATTACTATGCTCTCCAGTCTTATTGAAGACTTTGTCCTGCTCTGTAGCAGCACTTGGGTGTGGCAAATGAAACAAAAAAAATCATCAGTTCAACACCAGAGTGCCTTAGTTACCACTATTTTCCCTTGTACTTTTTCTCACACAGCAATAATAAGCAGTAAAACAGCCAAAATATATCTAATATTTTAATTTTAAGATGTTTAACTAGGTCTATGTTTTATTTTTTCTTGAAACTTTCCCATTTATCTGTCCTAACATTTGATATCAAAATATTTAGTTCTTTATTAAGTGTCAGAGCTAAGCCAAGGTTCTGGAGTTATCTTTTATTTTATTTTTTTTGGTACCGGGGATCGAACTCTGGGGTTATCTTTTCGAATATGCCCACACAGAAGTGCTTTGTATACTACTACAGATACTTCTTTGCCAGATAAATAAAAAACAGCCAAAAGAATGTTATTCATTCACTTATTTTACTTGGAGACAGGGTTTCACCATATAGTTCAGGCTGGCCTTGAACTCACTACGTAGCCCAGGCTAGCCTCAAACTTGTGGCAATCCTGGGGCCTCAGCCTCCTGAATGCTGGGATATTACAAGCATGTGCCACCACACCCAGCTTAAAATGTAATCTTGAGGGAGAAAATTGTCTATGTCTTGTTCATAGATATATGGCTACCACCTGGCACATGGTGAGTGCTCATTAGATATTCGTTGAGTAAACAAGTAACAGGGTGATCTCTATTACTGCTTGTTCCATATTCATCAACTCAGTATATGAGTCTGGGGACATAACCAAAAGCTCATTCTCTAAATACAGTGGTACCTTGGTTCATGAACTTAATTCTTTCCACGATTCTGGTCACAAGCTGAACTGGATGAGAACCAAATCAAATTCAATGGTTAGGTTTAATGTTGACCTTAAGGGGAAATTTGATTCAGTTCTCATCCAATTTGACTGTATTAGGATTCAGTGAAATTTAATCCATTTTATAGGTATGTGATGATTTATAGATCTTGAAGTTCTAAAAACAAAAAAATTCCTGGGAGAAATGTTCTGGCCATTGCTGAGTTTATTCACTGTGACATGCTTCCAACCTATACATTAAACAAAATACATTGGATCTTCATAATCTTAGGTGTTTTTTTTAAAGGGCAATTAGGTGGTAGAAGTAATTCTACAAAGTCAATCCTGATTTGTAGTACAATTTCTTAGGGAATGTTTTCAAAACAGCTTTTTACTTTGAAGGAGTTAACAAAGGTATTAAGATCGTGAAAAACAGATAACAGTAAAAGCATCATGTAAAAGTATCTCTTAACAAATATGAGTTTCAAAATTGTATACTGCCTGGTATAACCAAATGGGAGATTTAAATTCAAGAAAAAAGATTTCCAATCAGAAATCAATTTTTCTCAAACCCAAAAAACAAAAAACCACTACTTTCTCTTTTCTTGCTCAATGAAGGTGAGCACAAAGCACTGCACTGAAATAAAATCTATGTTACATGCTAAGAACTTATTTTTAAGTCCCAAATTCAATATATTGGCCCCGGTATCTTTGCAACCCATGTGCCCTTATTGAAAAGGAACACCCTGGCTACAGTGTGGAAATGAGTCTTTTGTTGGAATATGCATAGTATAGTAGGTTTCAGAGTGTGGACACAGGATATAGGAAGATAAGAGCTTCAGATTTAAGCTCAATTTTTGTTTTTATTATTAATCGAAAAATATCACATCCAATGCTACCTTTGAAAAAGCATTAAAAATATAAGTGGGTTAACAACCAACAAGTCTTCTACCAATTTCACTGCTGGGGTATACAGAAACAGCTTGTGTAAAAATATTCCCAGAATGGTGTACAATGGCACACGCTGTAATCCTAGCTACTTTGGAAGCTGAGGCAGAAGGATCATAAATTCAAGATGTACCTGAACAACTCAGTGAGAGCCTGTCTCAAAATAAAATTTAAGAAGGGCTGGGCTGGGGATTTAGCTCAGTGGTTCTGCCACCTGCCTCGCAAGTGCAAGGTCCCGAGTTTGATCTCCAATACCAAAAAAAAAAAAAAAAGGGGCTAAGGATGTAGCTTGGTGGTAGAGCACTTGTCTAGCATTCAATCCCCAGCACCACAGCAATATAAATAAATAACATTTTCAACAGGAAAATTTATATAAAGGTCTCAGAACAGTGCCTGAAATATGAAAAACACTCTGTTCAACTACTAAAATTATTATTAATTAGCAAAAAGTCAGAAACAACGCTTATCCCTTGAATGGTTAAACCATGATATACATGTACAATACTATAAGTGGACATACCAGTGATAAATTCATAGTTCAGTCTCAACGATAATGTTAAACAAAATATCAAGTTGCAAAATAACTATTTAGGATACTGCTAATTGCCTAGGGATACAAACATATATAGTAAAAATATATGATGATATACATAAAAGGGAGGAAAAAATGGGATGTCATCAGGGACTTCAACTGAATGATTATTTCTTAAAATGGGAAATAGGCATGTGGGGTCTATTATATTAGTCTCTATACCTCTCCAAGTGTCTTAAATATCCCCTAATATTTTTTGAAACAAGTGGACATATGCATAAGATTCAAAGCTAAAAATGTATTTTCCATAGGTTCAACACAATAATACATTAGTTTCTCAAAAACGTACCAAATAAAAATAGCTTCTATGACTAATGGTGGGGATACACACTACATTAGATTCATTTGAAAAGAATAAACACCAGAAAATCAGTAGGTACATTTTGCATTTAGGTAGTTCGGATCCATTTGGCCATTAAGAAAACAAAAAATATAATGTGTGCAAGTCAGGCACATTTCTTTATACTGGCTAAGCTAAAAACTACAAATTCATTCTTAAGGTCTAGCTGTTTCCTCCTGAGATCGTAACAATCTTTGCCTAAGGATCTTAAATGAGTCTCAAGAAACATGAAGAATTTCAGCCATTTAAAAAATACGCCTGGCCGGGGATTTAGCTCAGTGGTTCCACCACCTGCCTTGCAAGCACAAGGACCAGAGTTCAATCCCCGGTACGAAAAAAAAAAATAATAAAAAATTAAAAAAAATAAAAAATATGGCAATCTCCCAGGATTTAGCTCAGTGGTGCCACTGCCTGCCTCGCAAGTGCAAGGTCCTGAGTTCGATTCCTGACCCTCCCCCAAATATGTCAATCAATGGCAAAGAAAATAAAACATCAAAAATTCACTAATAGACCAAGTTACAAATGCTATGTATTTTAGTTAACTTTTTTTTTTTTAAGACAGAGGCTTGCTCTAGTTCAGTCTGGCCTTGAATTCACTATGTAGCCTAGGCTGGCCTCAAACTTGCAGCAATCCTGCCTCAGCCTCCCTAGTGCTGTGATTAAAGGGGCACACCACTATGCCCAGCTTAATTTTTAAAAATGCTTTTAAAATATTATATAATTTAAGGCATTAAGAGACAGAATCTGGTAGTACCTATACCTGTCGCGTCTTCCATCTCGGGCGCTGCCATGACTGTAACTTGTACATAGTTTACTGAAGGAAACTAGTTTCAGGTCAAGTTCATTTTCCAACTGTCGGGCCTGTTTCCGGAGATCTTTAACAACATTCCAAAAGTATAATTAGGCAAAGAGTTTATCAATAGACATGTAAATCATAATACTATTCTGGACAAAGTAAACTATGAAAATGATCACGTATCGGTCTTTGATTTAGTTACCCCTGATAAAGAAGTGTTAAAAAAAGGAAACCAAGCACTTAACCCAAGAATGTAAATTAGTCATTTATTTAAATTTCAGATAGAGCAAGAAGGGAAGTAGCAGTGGAGATGCAAACTTTTAGCTTTATTCCTAGGACAGATAGACAACAAATGTTATTCTAACATCTCTGAAATTATTTATAGAAATATAACTAAAATTACATTATCAGAGGAAAATAAGAATATAAATCAAAAATTAAATGAATAGGGTTGATGATCAGTCTCATATAAATTTACCAGTTAACTTTACAAGGAAAAAGTCATCGCTACTTTTTTAAGGATTTAGCTCTTTTTTTTTTTTTTGGTACCGGGGATCGAACTTGGGTCCTTGTGCTTGCTCAGCAGGCGGTGAAACCACTGAGCTAAATCCCCAGCCTTGATTTTGCTATCTTTATGTTCCAAAGCTTTATTAAGCTTATGAGATCCTTTTCATAATAGTAAAATGATTTAGCAAGTGAGCATAAAGAAAAAAATTATAATTAACAAATTAAAAATTGCATTTTCATAAACACACTAAAAAAATCTGGAGACAATGCAGCTAACATTGTGCTACTAACAAGGTCAAATATGATTATGACAGATAAAGCATAAGGCTGAAAACCACACAAGTTTAAAGGCAAACAAGCAGCCAGAGAAACTGGTACAATAGTTTGGCATCTAAGGGGCTTCTGGAAACCCACACATATATCTGACTAGACTTACACGTGATGAAGATGAAGTTAAAATAAAAGGACTAAACTACAGGAAGGAATAATATAAGAATGTCTTAGGCGTGAGGAATACAAACCATCATTTCAATATACTTTGCAATCAGAAGAAGCAAAGTAACATAGTAGAGCATAACTGCCCAAAGACCAAATCTCTGCTCAGTTTCTTATTGGCTCTGACATGTATTGAAAATCTACAAATCTCAGTGTTTTTTTTTCCTTTTGTATTTTAAACCTCTATCTTCAGGGGTTTTCTATGCATTAGTATTCATATGCTCAAAGCACCTGGCATAGAATTAATATGTTGTCAATAATGAGCTGCCTTAATTATTAAAGCATGATACTTTAAATAGCCTAATGAATAGTATTAAAGATACCAGTAACCACTTACACATAATTAAAAAATGTTTTCTACCTAGTACACATATTTCAAATGGCCATTTTAGCACGTTTTAAAACTATAAGCACATTTTTCTGCAATTTTAGTAATTTTCATTTCTAGTAGAAATCAAGGACAGTATTTTGAAAACACGACAGAAAAGCATGAATGCACTTAAAATTCAGATTCTTAGACCAAGTGGCTTACAGTAATAATATTGTGGTTTCTAGAAGTTTCAGTGGGTAGCAAGAAGAAATAGTCAAAAGGGTGAACGGATATATATATATAGGAAGCAGTTTCTATGTTGCAGAAAAGCAAATAGTTAAAAAGAAAAAGGTGAGCTTTCTCTTATTTTTGTTGTTCATCGTGATTCAGGATTGAGTTTTACATGACCTCACTTGATTGGACCATATTTTCAGGAATTAATGCCCTTGTCAAATTACAAGAAACTTTTCTGGTGGAAGAAGTATAGTAAATGCAATAACGACAACGGATAAAGGTTCTTTCAACTTTCTCTTTTTAACAAAAACGATCCTAGACTCCGAGACACTGGGTAAAGTTATTTTGTCTTCAAACACCTAATCCTCAAAGTCACGGCCTGAAGCTGCCACAGGGTCTCAGAAGGAAATATTCGCTCCTACTTCCTCTAATAGACAGGACTGACAAGTTCCTCCTTTCTCTTTTCCCACTCAGTTTCCCAGCAGTGATCTCAACCCGAAGGGGGACTCAACTCCAGTCTCCGGATTCTGGAAGTTCTCGCTCAACACTTGTCTCTTTTTAGTGCCTAATGCCCCGACGTCCGAGTTCCACTGCCTTTCGCTCATTTCCACTCTGGTGACTCAGGCCCCTCTTCCTCTCCAACCCGTGTCCACTGTCCAACCCCTGCTGCTGGTCCGGATCTTGCGGCCCGGTCAGGCCAGCCCCCTGCGCTAGTCCGTTCGGTTTCCTCAGTCCCCGGGGCTTCCACTAAGTAAGTCCCACCCTTCAGTTCGGCCGCTCAGGAGGCCTGACTTTTTCCTCTGCTGCCTCCCCAAAGATCTGTCTTCACTCGATCCCTCTGTCCCCTCGCGACCCATCCGAAGGTATCGCCCTCACCTTCCCAGTAATTGCTGGTTCCAGCCGCCATCTTTGTTGTCCAACGTCAGACGGAACAGAAGAGTAGAGGGGTGCGGGCCAGAGAGTCACCTCCGCGCCTTCTTCCGCCCTGAGCGCCGGGGAAGATGGGATACATGAACATCCACAGACACCACCACCTGGTGGTAAATCCGTTATTTTAAAGCATTTGAGTAACAAGACGAAACTTTAATTTCGCCCCCTGACGTTCCTTGAAGGTCTGTTTTCTGATGTTCTTTTTTTCCCCCCATTAACTTTATTGGTACATTTTAGGTATAAAATACAGTTACATTCATCATTGAGATCTTGTACCATTACATGAGTCTCTTGGTTCTTATTTTATTCCCCTTCCCTTGCCCTCCCCTCACCCCCTCCACCCTTC